CCACCACCACCACCACCACTACCAATGGCAGCACTGGCAGCATCAGCATTAATAATCCCTAGATTGTCCGGACCTCGCTGCCGCCACACCACCTGTTGCACACAGTTTCCTTTCTTCCATTTAGCAATGAAGCCCGGACATCCATGACACACTTTTTGCTAGGTCTGCTGGTTGGTCCCTTTGCATTATCGTTCGAGTCCGAATGCGCGGAAGCTGAACGGCCGCTGATGTTCTGGGGCAAGCTGCTACACCTTGCAGCTGAGCTGACACAGCAGGTAGGATTCGGACTTGCGTAGTGGAAATGAAGCTGGTCGCATATGGCCTCAACCATGTCCAGCCAAGGTCTCAACCCTTGTTTACTTGCTTTTTGCGACGCTGCATTTTGTATACTCTCCGCTGAATCCGTGGCCAGAGATCTGGAAGCAGAGACGGGCGAGGCCAGCACGCACAAGACATGTTACTTTTTAATCGTAGCTACGCCTGGCTCTTGGCTGTGTTGAAAGGGTTCTGCTCTAGAAGAGGCAAGGGAGCCACGGCCAGTTTTCTTGCTGCAGAGGGAAGTAAATCAGACACTTTGCATTTTAGACTACATAACATGCGTAATCACTATGGTAGTTAAAGACATTTTGTTCATGGGATGTTTTCGGAGCATGGGACCCAGAGCTTCACAGTCACAGACTGATGCAACTGCACGTTTCCAAAGCTGAGAAGCACCGAGCCTCCTCAGCAGGCAGTTGCCGCGTGTCGATCCCATCTGAAGCCAGCTGCATGTTTGACTCAGGTTCAAGTTGCTCAGGCAGCATGCCGCAGGTGCAAGCCTTCATCCTGCGCTGGTTCAGCACCCTGGCATTGCGCGCAACTTTAGTGATGTCATGCCCAAAGGAACTTGTCAATTGTTTGCCAGCTGCAGCAGGATGTTGATTGTCGATTTAATTCGGGAGAGATCTTGTCAAAGTTTTCCCAGAGACGGCCTCTCTTCAGGCAGCTTCATGCCAGAGGAGGGCCAGTGCGGGAGAGTCAGAACCCAGAAACACAAAGTCACATGTGGTCGCTTCGCTTCTGGGTTCCAGTATTCGACTTCCTCGTGCCCTTGGGCAGGCATAGCATCCACGTTTGTGCTTTGTTCCTGGGGTTGAAGGGCTACTCCTGCCAAATGATCAAAGTAGTGCTGTCTTGCTAGCAGGACTCGCAAAATGGAGTCATAGATTTGGGAAGGCCCCTCTGTATGTAAAAGGCATCAGGGGCCGCTAGCAGCCATAGCCATTAAGCATGCGTCAGGCATCAGCAAAGGATCATCATGCTAAGGTTGAGGATCTTGACAGCGAGCAGTTCTCATGTCGCTATACACTTGCTTGAGGTTTGTGGGGCTCATCGTGGAGGTAGCACACCTCACGGCGCAGCCCACAAGGACAACGGGTCCTCAGATTCTGGAACGTTCTTTTCAAACACTGCGTTCAGGATAGAGGGGTGGGCTCATTGGGCTTCTTGCCTGCAGTTGCTGATGCTTGACTTGTTCAATCTGGAGCTGGTAGTGCTGCATGGCTAAGGCGTGGATCCTTATACCGGCCAAGGGCTTTCGATTACTGGTGCCACCAGACGAGCCGGTGGTCTCAAACTTTTGGAGAGACGCTCGGCGTGCTATGGAATGCGCAGTGCTTTGATGGGCATTGCTTCTCAATCTCTTGTCCAGCCTGTCCAGCTGCCACATCTGCGTGCAGAGGACAGCATCACGCTGGGAATGTGGCTGTTTGCCTTGAGCTTACGGAACAGATATGATGCAGCCTTATCTGTGGGATGTAAATGGTTTCCTGGAGCAATGCCTGCTGTACAGCATTTGAAGCAGAGCTGGCGGGACTGAGGTGATGATCCATCTGTTCTCGAGCCTGCTGAGCATCGTCTCGGTGATGCATGTGCAGAACGGCAGGGAAGATGCATGGGCATTTGAAACCCTGCGCGGCAGTGGAGGCCATCTCACATAGTGGCACTGTGCTTCGCGAAGCAGACTTGCACACAAGCTTGAGACAGGAAGCATTGGTTGCCGAAGATTCTACATGTGCCTTGGCAGTCATTAAAATTGCGCAACTGCCAACATTGCGTGGTCTCGACTGATCCCGACTGAAATGGTTGCACAGGTTTTCCTGGTACTATACAACAACTACAGTGACATCCATCGGGTATGGTGACGTCACACCTGGAAATGCGGATGAGAGGTTCCCTGCCAAAGGCATGTACACCTGTACCATTGACAATCGCAAAGCCCATGTTGATGCTGAACTGAGGCTGGTGGCATCCGTGGTCATGATTTTAAGCCAGCTTTATTTTGCAAAGGCCACGCTGCATCTAGCTGTTCTATCTGTTAGAACTGATTGCCATGGCAAGGTGTTTGCTGATCTGACGTTTTTGACGTCCATGTACAATCAATGGACGCTTCAACGTCATCAACGAATGACGCAGACCAGATCAGCGCTGGAAAGCATGAATATCCCAAAGCAGTTGATTCAGACGCCTGCACCAATTGAGTGGTATTCGAACGAAGCCCAATCAGTCAATGACCAACTGTCTGAACGACCCACATTTGCGGCAGAAGCACGCATACTCCATTCCAAGGCGAGTGCAGGCCTGTCAGACATACGCTGCTTGGCTGGCAAGGCTTCCAAGCCAAGCTTTTGCGTGTGTTGTAGCTCCAGGATGTCCGATAAAGTATTGCTATCCTTCAACCGGCCAGCACAAGATATGGGATTTTCTTGAAGCGTAGCAGGTTTAGAAGGCGCGAAAAAAACAGATGTAAATCCTGCACTGGGTGGACGACCAGCATCAGATCGAGCAAAAGGCATCAACCTTTCCAGCGAGTCGATGTCCGTGCCATCCTACGAAGCTATATCCGAGGTCTGGGATGTTCAGAAAGAGCGGCGCGCAAAAAATTGCTTCGAAGACTTGACGACCCAGCTGCAGGAGGAGGTCAAGCTAGCCTTTCAGCTGGATGATAGACTACTGGCATTTGTGTCTCGAGCACAGCAGAAGCTCAGGTTCTCTACTCTCGCACCATAGCAGCACGTATCAGCACCGGAGGAATTATCTTTTGATGACAGTCGCCTCTCCGACCGAGGCTTGGTCATCCAAGTCCCATTCTTGCAAATGGTCGATGCAAGGGCGCTGAGATTTCTTATTAGCCGCCTTTCCGACACCCAGCGGCATACCGCTCTGAAGCCGGAGCTTCGCACGCAGAATTTAGCCGTCCAACGCGCAAAGGATCAGGTCTTCTTGCCTGCTGACTTCATCATATGTCGTGGAGAAATTGGCAGCGAGATGTTTTTCCTGAGGGAAGGTTGCGCTGGGGTTTTCACTTGCCCCTGGGCTGCTCTCTGACCAGACGGGACCTCTGTTTCAGGCAAACGCAAACTGATCCCACTAGCACAGAAATTGCAAGCACAATGAATACCACCAAGGTGTTCGTGCACCACACTGGGATGATGAGGAAATCAAGCGCGTCGAGAAAGGCGACGTACCTAACATCTCAGAAAACGCAAGCATATTTCCATGAATGCATTTCTGCAGCAGATGTGTTCTCATTCACCTTTGCCGGTGGAGCACCATGCCTGCTGTCATTAGTCTGCAGGTGGATGATGAGATGATTTAAGACTTTGAGGGCGCGTGTCCAGCTTTCGCCTCCCCGTTGTCAGGAAGCCATTTCGGTGAGATAGCTTTGCTCACAGGCCTTGCTGTTTGCGTTGAGTGTCCAACCTCTCAAGCTAAGCATCCAAACAAGTTCATCTTCATGAAATGAGCCTTGCAGCTGAACAGGTCAGTTGCGCACTGCGTGGATCATGGCCCGCGCCTACTGCCTAACATCAGTCCTTCAAGCGTGGCCTGCAAGCATTGTGAGATATTGGGAGGGACCGGCTTGACAATGGTCGCTTGTTGATGTAGGCTTGTTTGAACCTTGCAGGGAGTTTGCTCAACAGTGGTTTTCTGATACGGCCGCAGTGCCGCACATGCCTTCCTGTTTGCAACCCATCCAAGTATGTGGTGAGCCGTTCCGTGGTCCGAGGAGTGCAATAGATCACCTCATGGCCCAAGACCCTACGTCTATCTGCACGCTGATCAAGAACTTCCAAGATATGTCCCCTTCCTGAATCATAAAAAGAGATGTACGTGCTTAACAGGTGGCAGTTCCAAAGGCGATGTCAGAGCTCAAAAGTAGAACGTTCTGCCTCGCCAGGCTCAAGCTGAAAGCTTCATTGACATGGAATGATATCAAACAAAGATTAGACCGGGAGTTTGATCCAGATGACGTTCTACGACAAGATCTGTATGATGCTTTGCTGCGGTCTCACGAGCTGGTTTTTGCTGTTTTTTTGATGTGTGTGATGACCAAGCTTCACTAAAGTGAGCTGGGATACTTTCTAAGGATTTTGTATGTAGCGGCGATGATGGTCTTGCTCCAGCAGGCCGTGCCGATCTTGCCCTCGGCATGCTGGAAGCATTAGCCTTGGTCTTGTCAAGTGGAAGAGATCTGCGCATGCAGAGGGATGTCAGAGACGAATTGAATAGGCCAGCAGGCAACAAAAGCTAGCGGAGCACGCTAAACTGCGGTGGGGCCTCCGTGGTTTTCCAGGGACCCTCATACACAGCTTGTATGTCATGCCCATACAGAGAGATCGGGCAGCGCTACAAGAACAGCAGGAAATTCATCATCCTCCTGCCTTGGTGTTGGGAAGCTGTGTACTCAACTGATTCTCGTGTTGGGAAGACCAACCTGACCACAGCAGGGGAGCACACCTGATTAGATGCCTTCTCATCTGTACGCCGTCTAAGCGCATGCAAAAGCGCGCGACATTTTCCCACATCAAGGCAAGACACAGGGGCAAGCCACCTTGCCAATCCATGTTGTTTCAGATAGTGTGGTTTCCAACCAGCCGACCAAGACAAGACTTTCAACGTGACACACGCATCCAAACAGGAAAATATTTTCCTTGTGGTCATCACTCACCATGGGACATGTGCAACAGCCTTGGTTTATCGCCAGCAAGTAATTTCCGCATTGCAGACGGTGCCTTCAACATAAAATAAGTCATGCAAGCGAAAGCAGCGCTTCGACCTTGCACTACAAACCTCAAACCTGCAGCAGATGCAGCAGAGAAGGTTCAGATGTTGGGACAGCTGACAAATCTGGAGTTGTTCGCGCTGCAACACAACTCCTTCAAAGAGTGTTGGACAGATATGTGACACACAATGACGTTGCAAAACCAAAGGTCTCAGAAAAAAAAAAAAAAAGCAAGCAAAAGAGCCTCTTTTTCTAGCGGTATCTATGCCAATCCTGAGACACGGTGGATTACATGTTTGGAGCCGATGCGAATAAAGCGTCGGTGCGCACAAAACTGCTCAACAACTGTGCCGGAGACAATACGTGCGCTAAAGAGAGAGAGCAACGGTATGTTACGAAAGAAAGAAAGAAAGCAACATACCACCCTGCATATTCCTCTTCAGATGGACTTGCAACCCCTGCATAACGCCTTGATAACCCGACTCAGCCGGGGGCTGTCTTCGGAGATTCATGGACGGGTGCAAGGTCAACTAATGAAAAGCACTGGGTTTAGAGTCTACAGGTTTTCTGGACTCCATGAGAAGGAGCGTGGCATGGGAAACGCTTTTCATTTCCGCAGCCTCGGGCTCGAGCTGATGGCTGCGCCGCGCCCGGCAAAAGCCCCGCGTGTACCCTAAACCCTAAATTAGTTCAGACGTCAGGTCGTAAGTGGCTTCCTGATGTCCGGGAGGCAGCAAAGAAAAGCCTCCATCCTCCCCTTCACGTAAGCCTTACTAGCCTACAGGGGTGGTGGCTTTTTTTTGCTTGCCTCCTGCCAAAGCCACTAAGGGCGTTAAAAGCCCTGAATCCAGCTTCGTGCGTGTGACTCAGGGTCAGACTTCGGTCTGGCGCCCTCTTTTTTTGTTGGTTCGCACAGGCTTGGGGGACAGAACATATTTTCCTTGTTCTCTTTGCTTGCCGGTAGCTTGCATGTGCTTGTAGGAGTTTGAATGTTACAGTGATTGGGCGCTCAGCTTGGGGGACACTTTTTGTGGAGCGTGAAGCAGTCTCACTGTCCGAGACCGACAGGGAGAACGCCTATTGCCGAGCCAGTGTCGGGTCAGTTGCTGAGTGGTGTGTTGAGTATCGACTGGGTAGCCTTTGACTTTCAAAATGAGGGGAATGACCTGGCGGCATCCTCATGCAGTGCAACTAGCCAACTGAGCGGTGCACATGAAGTCTTACAGCTCCCTTGTAGGATCTGCATTGGAGGTTAGTGTGGGACCTGCATAGGGTATGTTTTTTAGATATGCTCCAATGCTCACTGATCCTCAGGAGTACCGACCAAGACTGAGACCGGCGCGGGTGGGGGGCTGGGCCCCCGGGGGGCTGTAGAGCCTCCTAGCACCCTGAGAAGAAGAAGAAGAACAAGCAACGGTATGTTACCTGTCTACTCAAATTGCTACTTCCCGCAGCCGAGTTTCACGAATTTCCACGGGCGAGCCGCCACCAATGGCATGCGTAGTTACGCTGTCATGAATGCAACACAATTAGTAGGGAGGCCCAAAATTGGCAAGGAACCCGAGTGTACAGGATATTGCGTCAACCCCGTAATGAGCTACTGGGCGAAAAGACATCCATCGAAAAAAGAAAGTGAAGAGTGGAAGAACAATCCATCTAATGTGGGGAGAGATGGGCCCCTAGCAAGCTGTTTTGAAGAATTACTCCAGGGGACGCAGTATCAGTAGGTAACCATGAGGACAGTCAGTCAGACCAGGGGTTATACTTACTGTGGGTACTTTTGTAATGGTTTTATTTGTTTGGAGTCGAGGGCGAATGGGACTGCTGAAACGCCGTGTTTGCAACATAGTCGAGCGTGTTGCCGAGTGACCCTGTAGGTGCGAGTCATGCTAGTCGCAGTGTGTTACATTGTTGTTTCTATTGTTGGGGGAGTGGGCTACAAGTCGGCTACGCACTGAGACAACCAACAGGGAATCACGCACCAGCATAGGGTATCCAATGTACAGCTCGCCAAGTTGCCAGCAGAGCAGCGGGGTGGGGGGGAGGGATCACATGACCCCGAATCTGACATGGAGAGAATGAGTTGGGGGTGAGGTTGATAGCACGGCTGTTAGGCATTACGGTTTGGAAAGTGATGGCAGACGGGAGGCAAGTCTCACAGCAGGCTCGAGTAAGTAGGGAAAAGAAGCTCATATGAGAAGCCCAAACGGGAGGTGCAGGGTGCCAATACTATACATTTTAGTTGTTCGGTATTTTCAGTTTGGGCAACTTGTATGGTTAACATTCCGGTCCTCGCCTGTACCCGACCTGACAGACTGAACCTGTGCGTGGCTTGGGGGCACAGCCCGTGCTGGCTCCCTAGGAAGCCAGCATAGCCAGTACAAGAAAAAGAGTTTGCCGACAGACTCATCCTTGAGCAAGCGTCACACCGACCAGACACGGACGGGCACCCCCCAGCTTGCGGCTCTGCCGCAGTGCGCTCTTTAGGGGGTGCGTCGTCCTGTGAGAAGACGAAGAAGAGTTTGCTGTAGCCATTTTGGCTTGAGTTCTTTGCCGCCTCCTGGCTCTCCTTTGTTTGGAGGGCCGTTGGGCACGGCCTGTCTTTGCGGTGGGGGGTAGTCCCTGACGCTGCGGCAGGTGGACGTTGCTCCGACGGGGAGAGGCTTGAGTCTCATAAGCAGCCCCTCTGAGATCAAGGCTGTCAGTACTTGGACGCCCCCCCTTGGTGGACAAAGAGAGCTTTTATTGCGAGCTGAGGTGTCCCCTGAAATTAAGCACCGACCGGGAGGAACAAAGAACGCTGCTTAAAACCAACCTTAGGGAGTCCTGAGTTGGTGATTCTGAACGGGGAGCATCGGCTTGGCTTCGTTGTCGAGGGGGAGTATCCTTTCGTTGGAGTTCATCTCTGTCTTTCGGATGTTGCCTTGAAACGTCGAGGTGACTTTTCATTCCTGGATCTTGCCTCTGCGAGCTGTAAATTCAGGGATTCAGCCAGGGGGCTGGACATCATAGCCATGGCTGCAAGCAGCTCGAGCGCAGCAGCAAAAACTGAAAGGAGGCCAAGCCAGCTTGAGGGAGTCCGACCTGCCAAAAGGGAAAAGACAGAGGATGCAGCACGACATCAGCAAGATGACGGAGAAGAGGTGTGTTTAGCGTGCGCCTCTTGAAAAAAGCCCATACATATGGGAAGCAATGCGAAAAGCAAGTCCCTGATGCAACCAAGGCCTAGATGCTTAGGGCCGCTAAAGGCGGGATGCGAGGCAGACATCGCCTATTGATGACCCTACAACTACAAAGACAAGAAACAGATGAGAGGGAGCGGCCACGACCATCATCCTTGAGCTCCTCGTCGAAGAGCTCTACATCGAAGAAGTCGAAGCAATCCGGGAAACTCCAAGCCCGAAAGAGAAGCAAGGAGAAGAAAGAAGCAGCGACTTCACGTGGGAAGATGCGGGAAGAAGGGAATGCGAGGTCCTCCCAACAACCACCTCAAAAAAGGAAGGATGAAGTATCCGGAGAAGACCGTTCAGATATGGTGGACCAAATATTGAAATGGGGACCTGGCAAGGAGAACAAAGACAAAGACGTGGCGACAAAGGAAAAGGGAGGCAACGAAGCACAGCAAACGGAGCAGATTCCAGTGCCCCCGCCAAGGATCCGGGTGCACCTGCCGGAGGGAGGGCGCCAGGGTGGATGAAAGCAAACGTGATGAACTGGTCATCAACAAGATGACAAGAGAACCGCTGAAGTAGACCGAGCAACGCTGGGGTCATCGAAGCCGATCCTAAAGCTGGATGGAAAAAACAAAATGAGACAGGAACCAGTGCGCTGCAATCACCGCGGGAAATGGAAAGGACAACTCCAGGAGAACTGCTAAATCCTCGAGAGCGGGAAGCATCGCCAATAAGAGTCCGACCGGACAGCCCACTGAGTGAACACAGCAACACAGGGAGTGCAACACCGCCAGCTTTGCCGGAGTTTGACAGCATCGCCGAGCCCGAGCATGGGGGGCGCAACCAAGGCTGGCACAGAAATACGCCGCCAGCGGAGCCGAAGGAAATCGCCAAGGACAGGAAGACAGAGAACCATTGTGCTCGGACGGAGGAGAAGATCTGGAAGTGAGCCAACTGACATTTCTGGTGATGTGGATGAAGAAAAAGTTGCAAGCCCACAACAGCGGAGACTGGGAACTGAGGCGGGCATTAAGGAATTGTTACGACTTCAACCAGCAGACGAAGCAAGGGGGTAAGACATGACACATCATGAGTTGCAGCGAGCGCTGGAGAAATGGATGTTGCCACGCGCGACGAAATCTCATGTGTTGGAGATAAAAGAACTGAGCGCACAAATAGTACTGGAAGTACAGTGGCAATGTGGAAAGAAACCTATTGGAACATCACGAACCAACTGAGACAATTGACTTACGGAAAAGTACGTGTATGAGCGTGTAAGGAGAATTAAGCACGCCTGCCGACAACCGGGGAGCAATGACTTTTTGGGAGGTGAGACCCCCTACCGCTACAATGCCA